TGCTATAAAAACAGGGCGTGTCGTTATGGTTGATTGGGTCTGCGGGAGTTTGGGCGGGAGTTTGATACCGCGACTCCACCTCACGACACTACTATGCAGAGTCTGGCTCCAAACAATTGGTAGTCAATGAGCTTGCTGCTCAACATTCAAATATATGACTAGTGCTTGCTATAGCAGTTTGCAGCATGCATCAGAAACCCTCCACCTTCCCCAGCTCCACCTGTATAAATCTGCTACGAGGTGATTCATGTATGCTATATGGGGGTTATTTCATGTATGTTATATTTGCAGCAGCAGAATTTCTGACTATGCCAATCCCTCTGAGAGTTGTCATGACAGAAATATATATATATATATATATATAAATCAACATAGAACATAAAACATTACAATTGCATAAATAATGCCTGACTATCATGAAATCATTACATTTATTTAATTAATCATTATATTAGAAGTTTAATTATTTATACACTATTACACTAAAAAAAATATATGTATGTAATTTATTTGACTACAGTTCTTTTGAATTGCATTTTAAATAAATTGAATTAAAATAAAATGTATAATTATGTCCACCAAAAATATGAAGCAACAAAAACTGTTTTCAGCATTGATAATAATAAGAACCATTATTGATCATTGACAACCAATAAAAATTGCTATAATAATCAGCATATTAGAATGATTTCTGAAGGATCATGTGACACTGAAGACTGGGGTAATGGCATTAATTTTAAATTATAATAATATTTCACAATATAGGTGTTTTTACTGTATTTTTAATCAAATTAATGCTTGCATATTCTTTATAAAGAACAGCATTTAATATTATATATTTTATATAAATTATATAATTATATATTTCATGATTCATAAATTCATTATTGTGTTCAAAGATAAAAGCATCAAATAGACATTACAAAAAGGAGCTTAAGAAATAAATATTTTATTATATTCAACACAGAACATTAAAATTGCATAAATAATGCCTAATTATCATTAAATCATTACATTTATTTAATTAATTATTAAATACTTATACTCACGCATAAGTGAATATAAATTATATATCATTTATTTCAAATAAATGTAATGTGCTAAAAACTTTTGAATTTTTTCCCCATCATATTTGTCTTTCACAGTAGCCAGGTTTCCATCCAAGAAGTTTTTGTGAAAAAATATTTAGTGCTTCAAATTTTTTACCGATATAGCTGATGGAAATGCCATTTATCGATAAAATTGATCATGTGTCGACATTATCTTTTTCCGTTTAACTTTAGCGCATAAATTCTATATCGATATTTCAAATGTCGCAAAAAATTATTTGGAAACACTTTTTGTTGAGAAAAGGGGCTTTAAAGGCAAATAAATGTGGTGTCACATGGCAGAAATAGCCTATAGGCAGTGGCCATGTTCATGGTGTTGCTCACATTAAAGCACTGTTTCCCTGTAGTTCAAAAGCACATTAAATCATATTCATATTATTAAATTGCATCTAAAATTATTTTATATTTGGTAAGAAAAAGATGAGTTACCTCTCAAACATACTTATCTTAATTTGATGTTCCTTTAGTAGCCTACGTTTAAGTTATTTTTTACACTGCACTGCTCAGTTTAAATAGCCTGTAGTCCATGCCGTTCAGTGTGACCACCGTACCCCCGTGATATTACTATGCCAAGCACATTTTGTTTTACGTGGATATTGGAACGCGAAGTACAACATTTTAAATTAATATATTTTGGCTTGTTAGTAGCTTTTTATATTTTTTTTATTCTTGTTTTGTTCTAAGTTCTGTTCTACCATTAAATTTAAAGTATTTGTTGTGGAGTGAGGGGAACTAAAATAGCATGGTTTTCAATGTTTGGCTGGCTGTATTTTATTATGACAATTAACAGGCTGTGTTGTAGAGTTAGCAATGCTTAACTGCGCAAGTGAGGTGCCGGCATGATCTCTTGTTTTTTTTTCCTTATAAAAGTGGAAACAACTTACACCGTCTAGACCGGACGCGAGCAGCGCAGCAAATGTCGCGTCCGGTGTAGACACGTTGTTACTATACTCCTTCATTTGTGGTCATATGAGAGTAAGACATTATTCAAAACTATTCTAAATATTCCTTTATTTGTGTACATTCACAATAAAAACTAAACATTGTGCTTTTGTAAAATAAAGGAAACGAACAGGATGCCGCTTTCTCAAGAGCGCATCACAAAAATTAGCCGAAATTTTTGCATTTAGGCTGATAATTGTTGCAGTTTTTTTTCTTTCGTTTTGTTCATTTATTATTTATAAAAATATATTTCACATATAGGCCTATTTATTTCTTTTATATATAGCTTTATTATGTTTTTCTCCATTCGCAGAAGCGCTGCGGGTGCGTGATGTGACCATGTGAATCCTCACGTTCTGTTGTGTATGCTGCTTTTTGCGTTTATAAAATTAATCCCAGGAAAACAAATGTAGGTATTTTTATTGGGTCACAGCCATGTATCAATTCAAATTTCATTTAATTGTAATTTAACATAATCTTGTCAGTTAATAATGGCTTAACAACAGTCGGTTGTTGGTTAGGAGAAATAAAATAACCAAAATGAACATTTCCTCTAAAAGTTCATCAGAAAAATAATGATAGGCTAATACAACTGCACCTATTTATGAAGTCACACAAGTACAACACGAACACCCAACACCCTCCTTTGTCTAAGAGAAAACAGACTGCAAAAATCTCTGTGTTAGAGCCTTTCTAGCTGAAGTGTTGATGCTCAGTGAGGTCAAAAGTGTTCAGTCAGCTCATTTGATTTCATCAAATTTATAAACCGCTATTAAATATTAACAAAGAGAGTGTGAAAACAAAAACAGGTGGTCAGATCGCACAGCAAACAATGCCTAAACTTTTCCCTATCTTAACCTCGGCTGCTCCCCGTCCTTGGGAGAATGGAGGTGAGAAGAGACGAGTGGAGGGAGGGGAGGTGAGGTAGACAGCCATCTGAGCGCTTCACATCAGCTCTCCCTCCGTCTGACAGACTGACGGATGAACAAAAAGGACTTTTATCTTATTTTGCCAAGGTCTGGCAGTCATTCAAGGTCTATTAAGCATAAATAAATGCAGCTAGAATGGACACAGCTCCCCACTCACCAAATGAACACATATGATTTACAGGAAATCTATAGCTCCTTGTTTCAGGCGAATTTATTAAGGTGTCAGGACATGAATCTGACTGCCTCAAGTGCTAGACATTGGTATCAGAAGACGCTCTACATTATCATAAATCGAAGGATTGAAAGCTCATAACTGCTGGTACAGATCAAGGATACAGGCAGTGTAGATGTCATATCAATTATAGAAATGCAATAAAACGATCAAGAATTTAAGAGGTTTGCCGCAAGTCCCCACCAGACAAGATGTTAGAACAGACAGCGCTCATTTGAACTGTCCCATGCCAGTGACCATTTTTGTCTTTTTGTCAGTCCTTTGAGCTTCCATTCAAATCGAAATGTCATTTAGCTTGTGTAAAATATGCTGCTTATTTATTCCGTCATATTTCAGAGCCTTTTTCTCCTCACGGGCCATAAATTAAACTTGATCAATGACCTTTTCTGCTTGACTTGTTTGCGACTTGCCATGTTCAGCAAAGAGCGCAATGCAAATATTTCATATGCGCCTGCAAAATGGCAACAAATCACCAAGGATTATTCTCAGCATAAATGTTTCAAAAAAAAATTATATATATACAGTATATATATATATATATGTATAAATGTGTGTGTGTGTGTGTGTGTGATTTATTTTAATATTGTTCTTTTGAATTACAATTGAAATGAATTAAATGTACAGTATAAATAAATTAAATAAAATGTATCATAATTTCCACAAAAATATTAAGCAACAAAAACTGTTTTCAGCATTGATAAGAATAAGAACCATTATTGATTATTGACAACCAATAATAATTGCTATAATATTATTTGTATAATATAATATCCTTCAGAAATCATATTAGAATGATTTCTGAAGGATCATGTGATACTGAATGGTAATTGCATTAATTTAAAATTATAATAATATTTCACAATACTGCTGTTTTTACTGTTTTTTAATCAAAGTAATGCTAACATATTATTTATAAAGATTAGCATTTATAATTATAGATTTTATATAATTTTAAAAAACAACTTCTATAATAATTCTATAATCAATTCTATATTTTATGATTCAGAAATATAGACAATATGAAATGCTACTGAAATATTATAATATTGTATTGATTGATTATGTACAGAATAAAATGTATAATTATATATTTTGCTGGTTTGTACAGGAATTCCAGTCCTGCAATACCCTCCCTTGCCCGGATCTAAAGAAGACCACTCCCTGGACCCCATGGATGCCGGTGAATATCTCAGACAATGGAGGCCACTATGAGCAGCGGTTCAGGTACACCTGTAAGGCGAGGGTCCCGGAGCCCAGCCTGCTGGAAGTAGGGAGACAGCGGATTGAGATGAGGTACTGCTCCAGCGACGGATCCACGGGATGCTCCACAGACGGTGAGATCTCATTCTGTCTCTCTTCCCTGCGATTCTTCATTTGTCAATCAGCTTTTTCCTTTTCTCTCCTCTCATCCTGCTTTTTCTCCCTGTGTCTTTGATGGAGTGAGCCCATAGTGACTTTGAGGCAAGCCACTTGATCTATTTGTCCATCGGTGGAAAGACAACATGATGTGCTCCAGTGCTTCTCTCTTTCTTTCTTTCTTTCACTCTCTCTCTCTTTCTCTCATCAATGTGGGCTCACTACATCATTTTTTGGAGTGTCGTCTCACCCAACACAAGTGCTCTTGGCTGCATTCTGCCTCAGAGAGACACGAGGAACATGCTAATGAAGTCAAATCAGCGAATGTGATTTCTCTCAGTGGTTGGGGGTCTTCCTGTCTGGCAAAGTGCAACACTTGCACTTAATTTTATTTATTTACCTCCCTGCATTAGGTTTCACATCTGTGAACTAGCTGTGGTTACAACAAGCTGTTAACTGACGAGCTACGAGAGTCAAAGTGGCACCGAGATATTACACAGATATATGCAGTGAAAACCCTGTAACAGTAAAGTTTGTTTTTGAGTGATGTTTATAGACACTAATATTCTACAGTCACGCTCTGATCTTCAACAGACATTCACTATGCCACAAACAAAGCTAATGACAAGAACTCTTTTAGGCTATTTTTCTTTGCTTTTCCATCTCACTAATTTCCATTTCGTTTTACGAGCGACTGAGCTAAAATGACAAAAAAAAAAACATTCAGAGCAGCACAGAAAAATTTAATTTGCTAGTTTGTGGAAGTCTTCTGTTGCTTTTAAATGCAGCTTTTCCGTTTGAAAGCTGAAATACAGGAAATCAATGAGGATTTTTTTTTAAATGTTAATTGTGTGTTGAGTTGCTTGTATACACAGACACATATATATACATGCAAACATACGTATATATATACTTTTGTAACATTATGCATGTGTGTGTATTATGAGTTATGGCTATTAAAACTGTTATGGCTATGTTATTTTACATTTCAATACATTTCACAATATTACTGCTTTTACAGCATTTTTGATCAATTAAATACAGTATTTTTGAGCATAAGATAATTCTTTACGTGCATATACAGGCAGGCGGGGGTGTGAAGTAACGAATTACAAATACTCACGTTACAGTAATTAAGTAGTTTTTATCAGTAATTGTACTTTTTTGAGTAGTTAAAAACTTGTGTACTTTTACTTTTACTTGAGTACATTTTAAGTGATGTATCGGTACTTTTACTCCGCTATTTTCCTCCGTTTGTGGTCGTTACATGCTTATTTAAATTTTATTTTTATCCATCAACGTGATTGGATAGAGAACGGTCTCGTGACTTTCGTCAAATCAAATTGTGCATAGAAAACTTTAACCGCCAACTGTTTATCATGGCTGCTGGAAGTGCATTTTTCAAGCATCAATTCAGTCGCATCTTCGTCTAACTTAATATGTTAAGGTAAATTTCAGATTTCTGCTTACTAAATGATTTGTATATATGCTTGCCTATCTACACGGCCTGAAATTTGGTGTGAGGTTGCGGGTATTGCATAAAGTGTTAACTCCTGCAAGTACCACGTTCGGTAAATTCCCACTCACTTATGAGAGCGCGATCTGCGCTGCCTCGTCTCTCTCTCGCGTGCGTTCTGCAGCGGTCACTTGGATAAGTCGTTGTTGCTTGTTGAACTTGATGACTTTTGATGAGTTTGAGCATGCGTGCTGTGAAAAAGTGTGTTGGAAACACAAATTGAGGACCAATCTGCACCTCACTGATGACCCGTGGTGTTAATATACTGCATCTGTGCCAGCGCGTGATGTAATAAAACTGCAGCTCGTTAATAAACTTTTAAAAAAAAATC